AAATTACCAGAAGCTCAATTGGCAGTCAGTTTTTTGCATTTTAAAAACTATTGTCAAAGGTGGCTAGAAATTTCTTAATTATAATGCAATTTAGAATAAAATTTTATAAAACATTTATATATATATATATTTAAATATTACAAATTTAATCTTAGTAGAATGCAAAGGAAAGTAAGAAAAGGAAGCAAAGGACACATGTTAAAAAAGTAAAAAGTCTTCACATCATAGACTTATCATGGCGACTTGAAAATAGTAAGTCCTATAATTAATTACAGCCAAGCAAAGATACAAAAGGAAAAATAAACTAAAAAAAAACCTATATAGCTTTCTAAAACATCATTTTTTATCCTTCGTTATTGGAGCTTTCAGATAAAAAATTCATACTTTTAAAAAGCTTTATAGGGTGTAGACAACTCCAGACTTATTTTACAGACTGTTAATGAATTTAATTGGAATTGCATTTTCTTTTAAAAATTGTGCCTAGAATTAAAATTTCATCTTTTTGTTTATCTATTTCAGTACAGACTTTTTGATTCTGCAAATCTGGTTAATAATTTTACTTGCTATAACTTTTTTATACGCTATTACTTTTTGATTTTTATTGGTTTTATTAAGTTTTAGACAGTAGAGGTAGATGGTGCAATCTTCTATGAGATTATAATTGTTGAAAGTAATAATGTCATCAATATATCTGAAAGTGTGTTCAAATTTAGTGAAATCATTATCAGAAAGGCTTTTAAACCCTTTAATGCATGCAGTTGCTACTTGGCAACACACTCATATTTAATTCAGTAAAACCAAATCCAAACACAAATTTTAGCTTACTGCATAGTGTAACCAAATGAATATATACTGTTTACATGTATAGTTTTGAAAGTTTAGGTGTGGTGTAATGGTCATTATTGTGAGTTGATATGTAGGGTGTAGACATCATTTGTGTTAATGAATTTTTTATTTTGTTTTTGTTGTTATTTTGATGTATTCAAAGTTTTAAAATTGTTTGAACAAGTTTATAAGGGGTGTATTATTACATAAAATTGTTATAACACATTTGGCTATCATATTTTTTTTGTATAGTTAATAATAGTTTTTCAAAAATTGGAATAAAAACTTAGTTTAGATTTTTTTTAGTATTTTTCATATTTTATTTTATAGCTATGCTAATGTAATTTTTACTTTAAAATATAAATAAAAATTCATGCATTTAAATGGAAAGAATGGGTTAAGAAATTTAAATTATTTAGAAAAAATAAGTTACAAGGATAAGCTGAATAGGAACTTTCTAGTGGAATACCATGTATTTGCAGGAAAAGAAATTTTGAATGTTTGTTATAGTCTGTAAAGCGAGAAATGTAAAAATTCCTTCCATTTTTGCAAATCCAGAATAGTAAGTATTTCGGAAAAAAATTCTGCAAGCTTCAGAAGACTTTCATAAATTTCTTTGAGTGGTAGAGACATGCAGAGATTTTCAAAGTCATAGCAGATAATATTGTAAACTTGAAGATTTTTAACTTTTTCAATAATTTGCTAATTGTCGTAAATAATCCAGCAGTAGTTTTTATCAGCTTTACCTTTATCAAATACAATATTACAAATAGATTTAAGTAGATTGTTAAAAATTTTATCAAAATTATTCTTGAAGTTTTTAGCACTGTTAGCTATAAATCTAAATTTGACAGGATTTTTATGAAAATAAGGAAAAGCATAAAGATTGGCAAATCTATTGTTTGTAGAGGGAAAAAATTTCCATTTTTTGTGAAAGGCAGAAATTTTGTTAATAATACTTCTTTATTTCTAGAGATACTATAGGTAGCAGAATTTTTCAGCTCACATGTACACCTGAAACATTTGTTAATATATATTTATATATATGTAAGGTATAAAATATAAAGAAATATTTATCAAATTGTCAACACACCTTTAAATTACTAATTTTTAATTAAAGTAACCCTTTCAAAGCATCTGCACATTCCCTGCATAGAATTGCTGTAAACTTTTGCCCAATCACTATCCAGAACAAAAACAAAGACTTTACAAGCTTATAAAAGTACCGCAACTAACTATGCATCATCATTTGCCACTTTGCTTTTCTGCTGGCAAAGTATCACTTAGCATCTGCTAGCTATTCTCTGCTATTTCAGGTATAATTACATATATAAAATAATGTGCTAAGAAATTTGTCATCCAGAAATCTAATGATGTTTAATTACAAAGGTCCTTGTGCTTCTTCCTAAACCCCACCTGGTCATCCACTAAACCTAAACTTCCATACAACTATACAGCAGTTTTCTTGTCCATGACTAAAAAGTGAATCAGTGCCTTTCCTAATCAATCTGCCATCTAATAAAGTTATCTACAACAAAATAAATCATTAGCTTTATACGAATAAAAAAAATATTTGTTAAATTCAAATTACATAGATATATATGCATATTAAAAAATGTTTCAAATGAACATCAGTATGCTAATCTTTGAGTTTAAATGCTTTTCAGATTAAGAGTTGAACAATGAAAAAGTGTGATGATCCATTTCTATATTTTTCCTGTAAATGCACTGTTTTTATACAGACAGACAGAGATGAGAAAATAGTAAATTAATTTTTTTAATCATGTTCAACTTAAGTAATATAGAATAAAGTGCAATAACAAATTTGAGATAGAACAAAAAATGCACAATATCTCCCTTTCATTTAGTTATAATATCACAATCAACACCAAAAAGAACAACAAGCAAAATTAAGATTTAACCAACGCAAATTTATAGTCAGATATTCTACATATACTAGCAGATGCCTAATATAGCATTTCGCAAGCAAAACAAATTTTCAATCACTAGACCATTATTTGTATCTGTAAAATTATATTATTATTATTTATATCTGTAAAATGAATTATTAAATTATTGTATTATTGTAAAATGAATGATTATTTATATCTGTAAAATGAAACTACATAAAATTAGTGCTTTATGCAGTGCTTGGGAGAGAATGACTGTTTTTCATTCAACTTGGAACTTATAAAACTTAATATCTAAATATTACTGCCTTATCAGCAATTTTCCCCACAAAAATTCCATTTATGATCTGAAGGATGACTGCATTAAACGAAAATAAAATTTTAATTCTAAATTCAATTTCAGAATTAATTTTATTCAAAGAATTTTTATACTTATTTTCACAAAAAAACTCTACAAAATTATATTTCAAAGACATGATTTCGATTAATTCAGGAAAAGTAACCAGGAATAAATAGAGAAAACACGTAAATATGTATAAGACAAACCCATGAAAAATATTGAAAGACATTGAAGAACATTTTTTACAATACAGTCAAAAGTCGTTAATTCGGACACCCATCATAATCCGGAATGATCTATAATCCGCACCTCAAAGCTACAAACTTTCTGTGCATGCCTCATGTTGACGCAAGCGCATAGGCGTTTACGCATGTGCGTAAGACCTTTATGGCTGTGAATATGCGTGTGCGCAAGCGCATAATACGTTTACGCATGCGCTTTTAATGTATAATGGACGGTATAAGCTAAGCTTAAATTATCTAATTCAGTTAATGTTGCAGATTATGTTGTTCCTTAATCTTCGAATTGGATCCGGCTTATTATTTTTTGCAGACTGTTAGAGCAATTTTATAAAAGTAAGCTTGAACTTTCGATTATGTCAAAATAGAATTTAAGATATATATTTACTAATATGTAAAGGATCTACAAAGTGAAAGTAAGTTTTGAAATCTGAAATCTGTTTATCAATTTCACACTGCTCTGCGGCAGGGGGCGGGGTGAAACGCCGCGGCGCGCAATGAATTGGAAGTTGATCTGTCAGCACTATCCTTATCTTCAAGGCAGATGTTTTTATTTTATTTGGTTTATAATTCCTTACTAAATGTAGTATTTCATCTCGATGTACTCCGTCTTTGATATGATTTAAATCGAGTTCCTCATCATTATAATTCGTTTCCGATAGTGAAGAAAGTGACAGAGAGGTTATTGAAAATGAAAACAATTTGACTGACAAATTAGTCGGTATTCTCGACACAGCAATTATAGGACTTGAACAGCAGAACTTTGTAACTAAACAAGAAATTATGTCTATTTAATAGAATTAAACAGAAAGTATTATCACATGAAACGAAGCAACTTAAACAACTTACATTGAAAGAAATATTTAATAAAGTAAACAAATAAATATTAAGCTTTTTCTTTTTGTACATTTTGATACCCTTTAGATCATAATTGTTCTTTATTTCATAAATTACGGTTTCATATTTTTAATTTTGTAATTTCTGCATGCCATCTTACCAGATTTAAACTGATGATCTATAATCTGGAAAATTCGATAATCCGTAATAGCCGAAGTCCCGACGAGTCCGGATTAATGACTTTTGACTGTATTAAAATAACATTAAAAACATAATTTCTGCAAAAAGCAATATTTTAGCGTGTAAAACTTCTATAATTATTATTCACTAAGATCAAATTATACTAAGAGATGTAAATTACGATTTTAAGAAAAGAAATTTTATTGCCTAATTTTTAAATGAACTGTAACCATGCTAAATTTACAAGAATGAATTCAGTTATTACAAATGTAAGGAAAATGCACCAATTTTCATAAATTACAATACATGAATTTCATGAGAGACATGAATTTTAACACAGAAGAGGTATTTAGTATTTGTTACAATGAAATAAACAATAATCCCCATTGTATATCATAATGTATCTCAAATTTTTATTAAAGTAACATAAAGGTGACCCAAATATTACAAAGTCCGAGATCCAGGATCGTCGGGACTTTGGTGATTTCAGATTACTTTGGAAATTTCCACGTTTTAAATCCTCAATTTAAATCTAGCAGGATTACATGTAGAAATTATAAAATGAAAAATATGACAGGTTGTTGGTGAAATAATGAAGTATTTATGATCTTGAAAGAATCAAAATTTATAAAAAAGAGAGGAAGGAAAAAAAAAAAAAGAGCTCAATATTAAAATTTGTTTTGTTCATTAAAATTTCTTTTTCAACTTAAATTGTCTAAACAATTTCATTTTATGTGTTAATACTTTTTCTTTTAATACTTTGATGTATGTGCAAGCATTTTTAAAACTGTACATCTGTCCTCTCATGATCTTGCAATGCTCCACACAGCAGATTTTATATTAAAATATTTCAGGAATTCTAGGATGGTCTTACTGCTGCACTAATTTTTAAAAGACTACTTCCCACCTGTATTTCAGCATGCACAAAATTCTGATACTGAATGGATGATTGATGGATACATAGTTTTGAGAAAAGAATAAACTAGAGATGTTTTCTTTTACTAAAACTTGAATTCTGATAAACAATTAACAGTAATAACAATAGGCTGAACAAAATAATAAGCCATATCAAATCAGAAAAATAAAGCAAAGGGCAAGTTGTAGTGCTACTTAATCTTAAGTTAATCAAAGCCTAATTCCCTTTTTCTCTTCCCTGCAAGGTCAATAAAAGGAAATCAGTATATGTTCAAAAACAAACACTCAAAACAACATTCAAGCAAACATACATCTTTGCAATTTACTTATTGCCAACAAGGTTAGATAAGATAAAAAATATTCTCCCACAACCATTCAAGAGACAAAAATAAAATGTAATTCACAAGTCAGCAAGAATTTATAGACAAAACAACATGCAGGATGATTCAATATTATCATAGATAATGACATTTCAAAGAGGGGGTGAACCTCAGCTAATCAGAACAAAAGCTGATTTATAGCACACTTGCTTTTCCTTGAATATCATATCATCTGTTCCTACAATGTGCAAGAAAAAGGAAAAACAAATCTCCCTCCCCCAAAAAAAAGTGTTTTATAGATGGCTTGAACCATTCTGATTGTTGGACATCCCGATTTTGAACTTTGTACTGCATTTAAATTACAGTACAGGTAATAAATATTCTAATAAGGAAGGATAAAAATCGTATATATACTCCACTGAAAATAACTGACACTTTTTAATTCATTGTACATTTTAGCCATTATAAAATCAAAAGTTATGTTAAAACTAATGATATGAACATTTAATTTCTTTAATGAAATCTGATATGAAGATGCTCAAAATACAAATTCTCCAGATTTAATACAGATACATATTAATACTATGATTAGAATCATTAAGTTCATTCGTAAGCCTAATAGCACTTCTAAACCTACATTTTCAGTAAATTAAAATGAGAAGATGCAATTAGCAGGTTCTAAGAATACAAAATTATGGATTCATATAAACCTAAACAGTGTTTATATTACAGAAACCAAGAATATCATTTGTAGCTAATTGTTAATACTGTAAAGTAAATAAAGAAAAACACAAATAAGTTTTCATTTGGATAATAGAAAATCATGAAAGATGCAAGTATGGAACAAACACTATTATGTATACACACACAAAATAAAATAAAATAAAATAAAACGTGCAGACTAAATGACTTTTGCAGAACTTATCAAATTAAGACATATAAAGTGCACTTAAACAAATTCAAATCATTCTTGTAAGACTCAATAACTTCCATATCAGTTTGAAAAGCACAATACAAAATATATGGATTTAAAATTCAATATACAGTCATAAGCTTGCAACACTCCACAGTTTGGAATAATGATTGATAACATGCATAATTGCTCACTGCCATATGCATAATCCCCCTTTCCATTGTGAGCTTCTTTATCTTTTATGCAATATACATTCATATATTAACTAAAATAGCACACCAAAGAACAAATGTCAAAGATATTACGGCAACAATGAAAGCTGTTTCAGTGGAAGGGGCACTTAAATGTTTAGAAAACGAGGCTTCAAAAATTTCATTTCTCAAGTATCAAAATTAATAAATTAATTTCACTTACTCTAATTTATTTGAAACAAACACATTTTGTTTTCCAAAATAAGTATTATCATCAGACTGAGGGATTAGCCATGGGAAGCTTTCTCAATTCTATTCTTGATGACATCTATATACATCATTTTGAATTCAAATTACTGAAATATTAAATTTCCTAGTTTCTTGGATCTTGGAGGATGGTGTTCAGGCTTTCAACTGTATCAGCTTTTACCTGTAATTGGAGAATGCTCTTGGCATATGGCAATAATTTAAAAAAATAAGTGCTACCGTGATCAGCAAACATTCTGGGCTATTTGAGCGAGGATATGATTTAGTCTTGACAGGCAGAAATGTTATTCAAAAATACAAAATGCTATATATACTACATAAAAACATAATTATTGATTAATATGCCCCATTGTGGTTTTTTTGAACAAATGTTCTACCATAGGGTCATTCTATGCAAGTCAGACAGTGTGGTCATAGGTTGAAGACCAAACATTTCCTGAAAAAGTTATGTGAGCTTGAAAGGATAAAAATCTTGCAATATTGCATTTTCAGATCTTCATGTACTTTCTGGTTTCAGATAAACCATGGTAAATTTGTGATGGCTCTTAAAACCTTATTTTAAAAAACCATCAGTTTTTCCTCTCAGTTTTTAAAGTCCTAGCTCATATAGGTATGGCATAGAAAAGTGCAAGTCTCATTATGGTGAGATATAAAGTTCTTTTGATACGAAGGTCTATTTTGGATCTTTTCCCGATGAGCCTGTGTATAACCATAAAGGCTGCATTAGCCTTGATTATCATAAAGATCACCTGTTTTTTTATAATTCGTTTGTGCATTTAATATGATGCCTAAATATTTAGTTGAATTTACTACTGACAGTAATTGATTATCTTCATATATTTAGGTTAACTATGACGATTTGTGTTTTAGCATCTAAATAAAATTACACTGCATTTGCTTCATTTAGTTTGATTTTCCATATTTCACATCAATGTGCTACAATATTAAGGCTCAATTGCAGGTTATCAATGCCATGTTGCAGCCTAATTGATTTTGCCGCTGGCATACTTGGCTAACTTGCAGTTTAGTGGTTTTGGTATATCATTGGTATATGCTAAACAAGGTCAGCGATAAAACTAAACCTTGTGGATAAAAATAAACCACGGATAAATTTTTTGGTTGAAAATGTAGCTTCTACTCACATCCGGAAAGTTCCACATTTCAGATAAGACTGAGTAATTTGAGCATTCTAAGAGGTAATTTGATTCTTGCAAGTTTATAATCAGTCCTAGATGCCAAATTTTATAAAATGTCTTTTCCATACCTAGGACACAGGCACCCACACATCGTTTTCTGGTAAACACTTCAGCTATGTTTTCCACAATGTTTAGGATTTGCATAGTTGTATTTAGAGCTTGTATAGAGTTAAAATGATTTTTTTTTTCAATATTATTTTTGATGAGGTGATCATTCAACTTTTGACGAATTATCGTCTCAAAAATCTTCCCAAAACACAGAAACAGACTGTAGGTCTATTATTCTATATCTAACTATGGGATTTTTATCAGATTTTAAAAAGCTGATAGGATAGTGTGCTTCCATTGCTGTGAAAAGTAGGAAAGTCTAAGACACACATTAATTATGTTGGTAACAAGAATGACAAATTTCCTTGGAGCTTCTTTAATGGCATTAGGTGAGATTTTGTATCGTTTGACATGTTTAAAGTTTTTTCAAGAGTTTTGGGAAAAAATTCTGCGATTTCCAGTTCTGATTGAGTGATGACATTACCCTGTATAAGTGGGTTCATACACTCAGATTGGAAGTTCTTGATCAGCAATAAGCAATTTTCCCTATTGTTAACCATTAAAAAACCTCCCCAGTTTGATACTATTGAATTCACAATATTTTTACTCTGCTTGATAAAAGAGGCTTAAAATAAAGTTCTTCATAATGAATTCCACTGATCCTATTATTTAGTTCACATGTGAACCTGACATATCCAGTTCCCTTCTGTTTCTTGCCATGCTGATTATATGAAATAACTCCTTAATTACTGTGTATCATAAGTTTTCATCTGTTTGCCTTCCATTACATTTAAAATCTTGTCATTCCACTAAACAGTGGTTTTCACCATTTCCCATGTACTGGAGGTTTGCTCCTCCATGTTAATTCTTGATCAAGAACTCAACTATCTGATAACAGCTGCAAATTACATTGGTTTTTACTTTGTGTTTTCTGCCGAGTGGTTAAAAATTTTCATATCAACGCAATAAAAAGCATTCTCTCATTTTGAGTGATTATGAGAATTCAGTAAACATTCCTTTCTTTCCATTAAATAGCTATAAAATTGCATGTATTTCATATAAGATTAATTTTCATGTTGTTTTTCCTCATGTCACTAAAATTCACAGTTTAATATTTAAAAAAGGACCACTATTTTACACATATGTACTCCAGGTGTATCTACACTTACTTGCTAATATGGCTTAATAAACATCAGCCAAACTAAGACAACCTTAATATTTTGCTCTGAGGAGCATGAGATATATGTTATGAAAACAAATAAATCATATATTGCCCAAAACTGCTGCTTCAGAAATAACAACCTCCATTTTCTGCTTCCAAAGTTATTCAAAACATAGCTTCTGCTGGTGAATTAAATATCCTAGAGGCATTTCACATTCATGAAAATATTTCAATAGTTAATGATTCCTATTATAGTTATTCAATAGTTAATGATTCCAATTCTAATCCATCTTTACCTTGAGCATTTAAAAAAATGATTTCATAATTATTTTCATTTTTGTCAATAGATGGCACCAATAGTCTTTTTCCTCTTCCTCAGCTGGAACTGCCTCACATTTTTTGTCTTTTGTTATCGCATGAATGCATGCTTCCCCTATGTCATTTTCACTTCTGCAAATGAAGAAGGCAGCTTTACAAAATCTTCAAAAATAATCCTGCAAATCTACGTAACTCATGCTGATTCTTGTCACTATACAATCCTTATCAGTTCATTAAAAATGAAAATCAATGGTGTCAGTGGAAATTTTTTAAAAAATTTCTAGCCATTAAAAAAAACTGACTTATACAGTGATTAAACTGACATAGTCCTAAACTCTTATCAAAATGCTGAAATTAAATTAAAAAAAAAAATTCATTACCTCGCATCAGCTTCACTATAATATTCTCTGGCTACAATGTCTTCAAACAGTTCTCCACCAGTAACTCTGGAAAAAATTCGAAATGGAATATCATTTTTATGCTTACAAATCATACATTCATTATCAAACACATCTTCTGCTTACCAAGAGTACAAAGCCTTTCACATATTTTTAAAAAGTATTTTGATTTAAAAAACTAAAATATTTCCAGATAAATATTTTGTTTAGTAAGAATTCAATAATCATCTGCTACAGTTAAATACGTTCTGACTTAAAAATGGTGCAGGTAAAGCAATTTTAGATTAAAATTATGGGGTTTCCCCCTTAAGGAAATAAGTTTCTATATTATAATTAATAAAGAGAGAGAGAGAGAAAGACAGACAGAGAGAAAGGGGAAAAAAGACAAATTTGAAAAATATGGGACTCACATTTAGAGATACATAACAAGCATATTATAAATAATAAAATAAAGACCATTAAGCTTTCTTTTTATAAGAAGGGAGGAAATGAGCATTCAAATACATATTTTTACAATAATTTCAAAAAAGTACCTGAAAAAAAAATCCTGTCTTTGCTGCATCTTTGTCAACAATAAAAAACTAATTAAGGTTTAAATTTCATGTTATTTAAGTCCAAATAGTACAATGTTAATTTTTTTGAAAGTAAAACTCATCATCAGAATCGTTTAAGCACATACAAATGAAAGGCACACATATGTAGTGAGTATCGATGAAACACCGATTAATGTAATTAATAATAATAACAATACTAATGACCATTTTACTGGAAAGAGAAAGACCACCACATCAGGTTCTAAGAATTTGAAGATAATTTCAATACAGAATTTACAGCTGTTACTGACTTTTAGTACAATAGGACAGCACTTATGAGAAGACAGGAAGAAATGGTAAAATCAGTTCTTCATGTTATGAAAATAATGCTTTGATTCCAACATTTGAAAAACAAATTCAGTATCTTTATCCATGAGGTTGTCAAAAAACTCAATTATGACAAAGCTATCAATCATACATTCAAATCTACCACTAAATTTTTGAAAAAAATTTTCAACAGATTCATGCATTTGCTAATATATTTCAAAATGCCTTGACTTTTCTTTCATGCATTGTGCTTCTGGAATATTAAAGGAATGCTTCATAAAGGTAAACTTAAAATATCATATGGACTTTAAAAAAATGCAAGTAGAGCAATACCCCACTGTTCAGTCTTAAAAAATTCTCCCCGGTAAAAAAAATCAAGGTGTAATCCAGAAAAAGGCACATCAATTACAATAAACTCAATTATTATTATTATTATTATTCAATTATTAAGTATTTAAAACTTAAAATTTTATTTTAAAAATGCATAAACACCTTCCATAAATGATATGTAACAAAGAAATAAAATACTTACAAATCAAATATTAAGTAGTGATAACCCTCTTCTTGTATGCTATCATGCAGCCGAACTGGGGGATAAAAAATGCAGATAAATAACTAAAGGATAAAAAATATTTTTACTTATGTTTTCATATGCATTTTGACAAACAGATGTTTATATTACACTAGAATATACAGTCAAAAGTCGTTAATTCGGACACCCATAATCCGGAATGATCTATAATCCGGACCTCAAAGCTAAAAACTTTCTGCGCATGCGCCGCGGTGGCACATGCGCACAGGCGTTTTACGCGAGCGCGTAAGACCTTGATACTGCGCATATGCGTGTGCGCAACTGCAGAATACGTTTTCGCCTGCGCGTTTAAATGTATAACGGACGGTGTAAGCTAAAATTATCTAATTATCTATTTCAGTTAATGTTAATGATTGCATTGTTCCTTAATCTTCGAATTGGATCCCGCTTATTATTTTTAGCAGACTGTAAGAGCAATTTATAAAAGTAAACTTGAACTTTCGATTATGTCAATAGAATTTCCGATGCTGGAACTCCAAAGGATCTACAAAACGAAAGTATGTTCGATGTCCAACAAACAAAAAAGTGGAATTGCCTGCAAAAAATGGATAAAGACATGAAGAATGTGGACAGAGAGGTTAGTGAAAACGAAAAAATTTCGATTGACAAGTTAGTCGTATTCTCGGCACAGCAATTAACGGGGACTTGAAGAGCGGAACTTTGTAACTGAATAAGAAATTATGTCTGTTTATAGAATTAAAGAGAAAGTATTATCACATAAAATGAAGCAACTTAAAACAACATACATTGAGAGAAATGTTAATAAAGTAAACAAATAAATATTAAGCTTTTTTTTTTTTTTTTTTTTTTGTAAATTTTGATACCCTTTAGATCATAATTGTTCTTTATTTCATAAATTACGGTTTCATATTTTTAATTTTAGAATTTCTGCATGCCATCTTACGAGATTTAAACTGATGATCTATAATCCGGAAAAATCGATAATCCGGAATCGCCGAAGTCCCGACGAGTTCGGATTAACGACTTTTGACTGTACTACATTTTCAAAATGAGAACTCATCAAAATGTACATATTTTTTTTTTAAATCACTGTTATGTATCCCATTACAGAGTTTAAGCAAATGAAATCATACTTTTACACGTAACATGGTTATTCACTTAAATATTATACACAAGACATAACATATAAACTGAACAATAATACAGTATAAAGTCCGAGATTCGGACTCGTCGGGACTTCGGCGATGCAATTTTCCGGATATTAGATCAACAGTTTAAATCTAGTAAAATGATAAGTAGAAATTTTTTAAAAAATTATGAAATAGTGCTTTATGAAATAATGAATTATTTATGAACTTCATTGGATCAAAAATTTACATTAAAGCAAAACAATTTAAAGTAAATTTTTTAGTCTGCTTCCTTTTTTTTTTTCCCCAATACTTTTTCTTTAATTTGCATACAAGGCAGACATAACTTCTTGTCCACTTACAAAACTCCATGGGTCCGCCCCTCCCAATGGCCGGGCACCAGCCGTGGGCCACTACTAAGGTTGGAAGCGGTTGTCACCTTATTATGAGGCTCTCATGAAAGCCGGGATTGCCCGGAACCTAAAGATTCTGAGCCGAAATGTTGTAACTGTCTCGGGAAGCATACCAGCAACTGGAGGGGTTGTGAGGCCTTCCCTAAGCAGAAACTCAATGCCCACAAGTTTGATGAAAGGGTCATTGTCAATAAATCCTACGCCCAGGCTATTCAATCTGATATTTTCGCTGGGAAAATTCAGAAAGCTGTAGCGGACACTCAGCAGATCATGAAGAACCTCGCTGATCTTATAGCGCTTCTATACAATACAACTGCTATGGCTGAAAAGCAAAATACAGTGAGGTCCGATACTGTGATAAATTATGGATCGTAGGTCTTTAGTAAAAATGACTCCAGTGACGATCATGAGATGGAATGCGCAGAACATTATCACCAAAATTAGTGAACTGCAGGACTTTCTCACACACTACATTTATACACTCATGATATATCTGCACTACACTCCGTGATATTGCACTAATCACGGAGACACATGCTATGCCTAGCGCACTCCCTGAGCATTGCTAACTATCGCAGTTATCGCTGCGATAGGATCAAACATAGAGGCGGAGGTGCCATAATCTATGTTAAATGGAGTTTGGACTCCTGCTTCTATGCTTCTGATAATTCTCATGGGTTTGAAGAAGTTAGGGTAGTCGTTCGGTTCCCTAATTGGGGAAAATGCTTGTATGCGCCCTTTACAACACTCCAGATTCAGGCTGCAAGATCAACCCTTACAGAATTTGCTAAATAACCCCTTTCCCACCATAATCGGAGGTGATCTTAATGCTAAATATGTTAGCTGGGGGTGCTGCAAAACAAATAAAAACGGTGATATCCTTCAAAACTTCCTGTCCAATTACCCATACTACATTTACCCCCCAGAAGATTTTACTTTCCGGCCTACTTACCCAAGACAGTATCCAGACATACTGGATCTTTATGTCACATCTCATAACTTACCGATCACTACGGAAGTAATCAATGACCTTTCTTCAGATCTGGTGCCAGTTCTGGCACACCTGGGTATTAGCAGACCTGAAACCAACACCACTTACAAAATTACTGATTGGGACAAATTCAAACCTGAAATTAACAATCATCTCCCCAAAACAGAGCAACTTGAAAATACACATGATATCGACCAAGCTATCATAAGCATCACCACCTGCATTGATAAGGCATTGCAAAATTCTACTACAGAAACTATTAATAAAAAAACATCACTTCAAACTTCCGCAGAAATTAAATTAATTAGCCAAACACGAAATAGACTCCGCAAGATCTTCGCCCACTCACGTGACCCAGCAATTATATCGCAAATTAATAAACTTAATCGCAATATTAAAAGGTTAATTGACTCCCACCAGACTAAACTTTGGAAAAACAAAATTGAAAAATTAAATGTGGAAGACGGAGAATTCTGGAAGTCCCTCCGTTTAATGAAGTCAACAAAAACAAGCAACAAACCTCTACAGGACGACACTGGATTCAAATACAGCAACGAAGACAAAGCTAAAGCCTTTGCCACCCACTTCACTAAGCAGTTCACTCCAAATGAGACCCCTTCAGAACGAAATTTCATTAATCACATTAATATGTTTGTCGATAATTGGATTAACCAGCCCAGTGTCAAAAATCTCCCTGTTTTTACCTCTCCCACAGAAGTTAGCTCTATTATAGCTAAACTTCATAATAGAAAAGCACCTGGGAAGGACAAAATCTCTAATTCAATGATTAAACATCTGCCTGGTAATTTCATTAACAAACTCTGTAGCATTTACAACGCCTGCCTGTACTTATGCCATTTCCCAGCTGAGTGGAAACAAGCGGTTGTCATCTTAACTCCCAAACCCGGAAAAGATAATACAAGAGTGGATGGATTTCGCCCAATCAGCTTGCTTCCTGCACTGGGAAAGATCCTAGAGATCTGCAGAAGACTACAGCCAGCCTTAAACGCGCTTCCAAACCAACAGTTTGGTTTCCGTAAAGGGTTATCTACCACAATGCAGCTTGTCAGAATCGTTGAATTTTTAAGCGCAACTAGTCATAAGCACCAGACAACTGCTTTCCTTATGCTGGACGTGGCAAAAGCCTTTGACTGCGTCTGGTATAACGGACTTATCTACAAGCTTGCTTCCCTTGATCTCCCCAGGGAAACGATTTTGATTCTTCACTCCTTTCTAGGTGATCGATCCTTCTATGTCAGGCAGGGCAATGTTTATTCTGAAAACACATTAATTAAAGCCGGCGTCCCCCAGGGAAGCATCCTTGGGCTTATTCTCTATCTTATATATGTTAAGGACTTCCCTACGATTGAAAATACAAACTGCATCACCGCCCTGCTACGCGGACGACACCGCCATTCTTTCTAGTTCACTTAATCCACGACATGCCATGATCAGAATACAAAAACCACACACACGAGATAGAGGAATGGTTCGCAAATGGAGGACGTCCATTAATGCCACAAAATCTAAATTATTACTGATAGGACGGCATAGAAGAAAAAACACTGATGCAAATCTGACGCTCTTTAATGAAACGGAGGCCAAAGTCAGAGAGGCTACATACTTGGGAGTTCGTTTTAACGGCTCGCTTACATGGGGTCCTCACATTTCCATGACCATCGGGGCCATAGGAGTCTCTAGGAAGCTCCGAAACTTTCTTGACACCTCCTCACCACTGGATCTTGCTCACACGAAGCACATTTACACATCAATATTAAGACCCATCCTTACATATGCCTCCCCTGCATGGTGTTCTGTTCCCCCTTTCGTATTAAATAAATTGCAGGTTTACCAAAACAACTACTTACGAAAAATCAAAGGAGCTCCCTGGTTCGTTCGCAATGAACAGCTACACAGAGACCTTAAACTCCAAAATCTGGCGTTATTCATCAATAAATTAAATAATAATTTTTTCAAGAAAGCCATCATCAACGCGGAGGTAAATTATTCTGACAATTTTAAGTACGAGCTCTTAGAAATTGACATCAATTTAAGGCCCTATGCAACCCACATTTATCAGAATCCCTCATAAATACTCCTAACTTCTTCCAGCCAATTTTGAAGTTTCAAAGTATGACTTCTTCATTTACACTGGCTTGGGGCCACATCTACACAATCTTCCTGCAGTCCCTTATCAAGGCATTCCTGCGAAGCACTGTATGTTATGTCTCCTCTAACCGGGCTTATTTGAGGTGCCTGTAATAGCGGGATATAATTCCTGCTGAAACAGGCATATCAAAGTATCACCTTATAGAGGAACTAATAGATGGGCCACCGTTGCCTCCTATGAACGGACAGACAATTTACATACATGGCCTTCCCCGGGATTGGAACATGGGGCCTTCGGTACGGCAGTCAAAATCGCTAACCACTTTCTCATCTGGAAGGCAAGTTCCACTGTTCAAGTTCTGTAATTGCTGCGTCGAAAATTCTCACTAAATCATC